TAAAGCTAACCCTAAACCTAACCTTTACCTTAAGTTGAATCGGCTTGCTTTCAAAGCGCTATTTAAAGCGCCCTTCTTTCTCTGTGCTGGCTGTTGTCGCCCTGTTGATGACGTCAGCGACGCGGTTTAATCGGGAGCAGCTTAGTCGAGCGCGGTTTTGATGGGTCACGCATTCAAGGTAGTTTGCTTATCAAGATTGATTTGCTTAATGACCAAGCTCTCCACTTGACAACTGCAGCAATTACAACGGTGGCAAGGGAATTTGTCGAAGGGGACAAAACTTTCCCGCGCCAAGGTCTCGCTTAGCAACATGAACGTTTGGGGCTCTGCAGTTGTACGACGAGAACTACTCGGAAAAATAAGTCTAGAAGGTTATTTAAAATAAAGAAATAAATAAAAGGTTTGGAGAGACAAGGGTTCAAATTCGGAACGTGCCTAGAAAACAGGACGTTCAATGAAGAACGAATACAATTACAGGTAGTCCCCCACTTACGACCATTCATTTAGCGACCGTTCAAAGACAGAACAGCAGCGTAAAAAGTGACTTATAACCATTTCCCACACTTACGATCCGTTGTAGCATCTCCACAGAACTTACATTCAGCAACTGACTCATATTTATGACAGGGTCACAGAATCACCTTTTTTTGACCTTCTGACAAGCAAAGCCGGATTCACTTAGCAACTGGGTTGCTAATTTAAGGATGATAGGGATTCGCTTAATGGTAGCAGCAAGAACGGTCGTAAATTGTAGCAAAACTGTCTTTTTAACAAATATTTTCCTTACCAATAGAAATTTGGCACTGAATTATGGTCGTACGTTGAGGACTATCGGTATTTACTTAAGGCAGACCTTCCTTTGTTGCTCACAATTGGGGTCGTATGTCGAGGACTACCTGTATTGTTGCTCACAATTGCGGTCGTAAACTGAAGACTACGTGCAGAAGGGTTTCAATTTCATCTCTCATGGAGGACTAGCTCAATTCCAGCCAGTCCCTGACTTACGATGACAATCGGTACCAGAATTATCAGGCGGTCGTTAAGTGAATCACAGCCAACTTTACAAACTTTCAGGACACGGTTAAGGGAATCGCAACGGCCGTTCAGCGAGTCACACATTGGCCGAACGATTTCATGGGCTTCATGGGTGAAATGCCAAAGGGGACGATGCAACTGTCATTAATACGAGCCGTTGGCCCAGACCCTGAATTTTGATCGTGGGGACATCAGATACGGCAAAAATGGACCTACGTTGCCAACATCTTGCTCAGCGATGGGAATTTTGGTCTTTTAAGTTGAGGACTGCCTGTCTGGAGAAACCCCAGATGACGGTTTCAAAAGCGGGGAAAATTTCCGGGGGGCAAGAAACAACATGGTGGACACAACGGGGGAAGACAGCTGCGTGGGTTGTGTTGTGGGGCTTGTGTGTTGTGACGCACCGTTTTTGGGAAGGGCCACCTCCTCAACGTTCGGCACAGGGGTGGGGTCCTCCATGTCCTTGGTCAGATCGTCCTGCTCCTCCTCTTCTTTCTGACCGCGTCGCTTCCCGTAGAGGCTGGCTTGTCTGGAAGGGGAGTGGGGTGGGTGGTGGGGTAGACAAAAGGAAAAGACCACCCTTGACTGACCATTTTCTGCACAGGGAGTGGAATCTGGGTTAGGTTATTTTTTGCTCCCCACCTCCCGGTAGGGCTTCAGTTCCTCAGTTGGTATGTTGGGAAACCTCTTTCTCTTCATCCATCCATCTATCCATGCATCCAAAGATGCCTCCCTCTATCCACCCTCCCATCCATCCATCCTCTGCAGTCTAGCCAACTGGAACATGGATAGACTTCCATTTCCAGAGTTCCTCAGCCAGTATGTTGAAAAATAGTATATCTCTCTCCATTTCTCCATCCATCCATCCATCCACCCACCCACCCATCCATCCATCCTTTTCAGCCAACTGGAACACAGACTTCAGTTCCTCAGCCAGCATGTTGAAAAATAGTATATCTCTCTCCATTTCTCCATCCATCCACCCATCTCTTCATCTCTCCATCCACCCATCCACCCAGGTGTTTCTCAACCACGGCCACCTGGAAGATGGCTGGACTTCAACATAAGATAGAAAGATGATAAATGAGCAACGGATAACGAGTCACAGACAGCTACAGGTAAGACAGCTCATCAGATTGACAGATGACAGACAAGATGTCTTGATGAATGGTCTCTTTCTGACTGACCAGCCGAGACTGGAGGGAACGAGAGCACCGTTCTCTGCGTGATTGGCAATGGATCCACCTTGTGAGGTGGCGGGTCTTCTCCTTCCTCCTCTTGGTCATGTTAATCACAAACTCACTGCTACTTGATCAGTAATTCCTTCCTTCCTTCCTTCCTTCCATCCATCCATCCTTCCACCTATCTACCTATCGACATCCATATCCATCCATCCATCTATCTACCTATCCACATCCATATCCATCCATATCCATCCATCCATCTATCTGCCCATCCATCCATCCATCCATTCACCTATCTACCTATCCACATCCATATCCATCCATCCATCCATCCATCCATCCATCTGCCCATCCATCCATCCATCCATCCATCTATCTACCTATCTACCTATCCACATCCACTTCCACATCCATCCATGCATCCATCCATCCATCCATCCATCCAAGGACCCTACCCCTTCTTGCCAACTTTCTTCCTGGATTCCACCGGGGTGGGAGGTGGTGGGGGTGAAGGAGAGGCTTTCCTCTTCCGGGTCCCGGTAGCTGCCTTTCTATCTCGTCGTTCGGGGCTACGGACCGGCTGTTGAAAGAAGAGAGAGATGGTCCAACAAGGGGAACTAAGAAAGGGTTATGGTCCAGCCGTTTGTCTAAGATGGTCCTGCTTGATTAGAGGGGTAGACCAGAAGACCTCCAAGGTACCTTCCAGTTTCTCTTCTCTTCCCTTCTTTCCTCCTCTTTTTTTCTTTGCTTCCCCTGTCCCACTCCCAATCGTCTTTTCTCTCTTCCCTTTTCCCCCTTCCTGCTCTTCTTTCCTACCTCTTTCCTTCCTATTCTTCCCTTATCTCCTTCCTTCCTGTTTCCTCTCCTTCCTTCCTCTCTTCTCTCTCCTTTCTCTTCCCTTTTTTCCTTTCTTCTCTCCTCTTCCCTCCACATTCTCTTCCCTTCTTCTTCTCTTCCTTTTTAACCTCTTCCTCCCTCCCCCTCTTCTCCTCTTCCCTCCTCCTCCCGTCTTCTCTCTCTTCCCTTCTTTGTCTCTTCCCTTCCCCCTGTTTAACGTCTCTCCTCTTCCTTCCATCCCACCAAGCGTCACCTCTATCCCAAGAGACCAAAAGCGTCACCTCTTCATTTCTCAGGTAAATCCGTTGTCGAAAGCTGACTGGCTTCTTGTTCTCATCCACCTCGTAGTCTTCTTCGTTCATCCATTCGTTGAAAACGTCCATGTCCAGGATCCATCGGGCGTAGACCTAGCCAAAGAATCAGAATTGTCAGAAACATCTTTAAGGACAAGCAGTTCTTGACATGACTGCCATCAAGCCCAAAATTGTTGCGGCTATGTGAGAAACTCACGAAGGGAGTTTTAACCTGATTTTAGGATTTTTCCTGCCAAGTGAAATGCTTCAGTTCTTAAGTGGGGAACACAGTTATTAAGTGAATCTAGCTTTCCCAGTTGACTTGGCTGGTCAGGAGGTTGCAAAAAGGGGTCACGTGACCCTGGGATGCTGCAACCGTCGTAAATGGCCACAGCTTCCAGCCCCCTCATCAAGCTTGACAACTTTTTTCTCATTTTGTGTGTGTAAAAACCTACGCCAAATTTCTCTTCCCCGAGAATTCTTAACACCTCAGGCGGAAAGTCACTTAGAAAACTGCAGATTTCACAGCCAACGCCCACCAAGAAGAGAAACGCACCTTCCAGGGCTTTTCAGGAATGGGAGGCTCTTCGATCTCCGCTTCGACTTCGCTCGCATGGACCCAGGTGTCGTAGCTGAAAGGTTAAAAAATAAATAGGAAAGAGGTGGGTGGATTGGATAGGCTGGTCAGGCAGGATGAAGCGCAAGAGACCATGTGAAACCACATCTATCTACTATCTACCTACCCATCCATTCTTCTAGTATCTATGTATATTCCATCTACTATCTATAGATGTATCTCCACCCATCATCTATTCATCCATCCTGTATCTACCTATGTATTTATCTGTCTCCATGTCTATCTATCCATCCAGTGTCTATCCATACATCTAATATCTATCTCTTGCCATGGATGTTAAGTGAATCACTGCGACTGTTAAGTCACATGGCTGTTCAGCAAATCTCTCCGCAAAAGGGGAATCACATGACCCCCGGGGACACTGCAACCGTCATAAACACGAGTCAGTGGCCAAGGTCCTGAATTTTGATCGCGGGGACACAGCAACAGTCGCTGGGTGTCAAGAAGGGTCGTAAGTCACTGTTTTCAGTGTCATTACAACTTTGAACGGTCACTAAATGAAATGTCATAAATCGGGGACCACCTTTATTATAATGCTGGATTGCCAAGGCCATGTGGATTACCTGTCTGGGTAATAACCCCAATGCACCAGAACTTGCTTGTCTTTTCTCATCACGGGTCTCAGCCAGTCATCTGCCAGGAAGAGAAATAAAATGACATCAGTCTATTTATTTATTTATTTATTTATTTATTCATTTATTCATTCATTCATTCCATGCGGCGTGAGAGTCTGGCATTCCTGCATAAATTCACAAAACCAGCAGAGATATGTATATCAAAATATAAGACACCATTTTCAAGAGGCAACTGGACTTTCTTAGGTTTTTTTTTTTTTTTAATGAAGAGGTTTCGCTTCTCATCCTGGAAGCTTCTTCAGTTCGGAATCATGAAATGAAATGTTACTCAGAAGGGAGGAAACCTTTACGGATGAGAAGCGGAAACTTTTCAAGGATAAAAACCAAGGAAGTCCAGTTGCCTTTGGAAAGAAAGCACCTTTGGGACACCCGAAAACCTGGATGAGTGAGAATCTCCAAAGACCTGTAGTGCCATGATGGCAAACCCTGTGGCATGCAGAGCTCTCTCTGTGGGTACATGAGCCGTCACCCCAGCTCAGCTGCACTGCACCTGCCTCCCACTGGCCAGCTGATTTTTGGGTCTCTACCACATATGTGCAGAGGGCAGGGCACATGTGAGAGGCATACACATGCGCGCAAGGGGTGGTGGTTTTGCATGCATGTGCAAGGGTCACACACATGAGAGATGGTGGGGATTGCGGAGGGGCAGTCCCCGCTACCTGTTTTTGCTCCTAGGAGGCTGCAGGGAGGCCTACTAGGCCCAAAATGGGGTGCAGGGTGGTGGTGGTCGCACATACGCAGAGGGGCTCGTAGAGTTGTGTGTGCCTGCACAGGGGGACGGCTCATGCACACATTGCAAGGAGCCGAGGTGGTGCAGTGGTTAAAGTGCAGCACTGCAGGCTACTTCAGCTGACTGCAATTCTGCAGTCCGGCTGTTCTAATCTCACCGGCTCAAAGGTTGACTCAGCCTTCCATCCTTCCGGGGTGGGTGAAATGAGGACCAGGATTGTTGTTGGGGGCGATATGCTGACTCTGTAAACCGCTTAGAGAGGGCTGAAAGCCCTATGAAGAGGTATATAAGTCTAACTGCTATTGCTATTGCTTTTGGCACATGAGGACAAAAAAGTTTGGCCATGACTGTTATAGTGAATGTCCTCGTGGTCTCCTGGGAAGTGCAGATGGAGGTGGAGCCTTCTTAGCTGCAGGACGTTTTCTGCTCTGTGTCCACGTACAGGCCCCACCCCCACTTGCGCTAGGACACAAGTAAATTTGCAAGTGGTCTCCATGGTGCTTTGAAAGAATGCAAGGATTTATATCCCCCCCGTTCCCCACCATCCAGTCACAGCTGAAGAAGCCTCTCGGAGGAGAAGCGAAACGTCTTCAAAGGAACGGGAGAAAGCCCAGTTGCCTCTTGAAAAAAGCACCTGGGGGACTTCCTGACAAGTGAGGACAACTAACCAGTGGAACAGCTAACCCTGCCTTCAAACGTTGTGGGTGTTCCATCACTGGAGGATTTTAAGAAGAGTTCGGAGTTGGAGTTTATTCAATTTGTAGGCCGCCCTATTCCCCGAAGGGACTCAGGGCGGCTGAACAAAGCCAAGGGAGGGAAAATTACAAAAAGTAACACAAAGACAATCAGACAACACGAACAATTTAAAAGCACAACAGACACAGCAAATTCGAGTAGGGGGGGGGGGGAACTCAACCCCAGGCTTGCTGGGACAGCCAGGTCTTCACGGCCGCCCAGAAAGTGGGCAACCATTTGTCTGAAATGGCATAGGGTTTCCTGCTCGGGCAGGGGGTTGGACTAGAAGACCTCCGAGGTCCCTTCCAGTTCTGTGATTCTGCCCTCCAGATGAGAAACCAGATATGAAAGGATTCGGAAGACAGGGAAAGAGGGAGAAATTTTCCAGAGTGTATGGGGAAATGCTGCCCTCCAGTGGAGGCCAGCTGTAAAAACTCTGGAGAACATTTATTTATTAAATCGATTAAATCGATTTGCAGGATCTGCCAAGAAACGTCATCTCTGCGGTCTTTGCACTTGTCACAACAACAAAATATGCCATTTTTTAAAGGCCCTGGAGGCAAACACCACTTATATTTTAAATGCTAGTTTAATCGAATATCATAAAGGTGCGTCGAACCTTCATCCAGTGAGGTAGGAACAGGGTATATATGATGTGTGGCTTTCGACTTGTCGTCTGTGATGGTCCCCTAAGGGGAAAAAAAAGCAGAGAGGGGAATTAGCATCTAAGCTTCCCGGTTTTCTTGCAAATGTTTCACAAACCAACTAGAGAACATCATCATTGCCAGAAGGGAGGAGGGTGTATGGAGAGGAGGAAGGAGAGAAGGAAGGTGCTCTCTGATCAGGGTGGTTTATCTAGATAACTAAATAACACCATCAATGCTGGAAGGGAGGGGGATTTGTTGAGAGGAGAAGGAGGAAAAAAGACCGTGGGGTCCTCGGTGGTCTTATGAGCTTGGTGGTTTTCTTGCAGACATTTTGTGAGCCAAGTAGGTAGTACCATCAGTGCTAGGAGAGAGGGGCATTTGCAGGGAGGAGGAGGAGGAAGAGGAAGAGGAGGTAGGAAAAAGACAAGGTCGTCCTTGGTGCTGAGTTTGGTGGCTTTCTTTCAGACGTTTCATGACCCAAACTAGGGAATGTCATCAGTGCTAGAAGGGAGGGGGATTTGTGGGGAGGGGGAGGTTGACTATGGGATTCTTGGTGCTCTGAGCTTGGTGGCTTCTGCACAGGTGTTTCATTACCCAACTGGTTAACACCTTCAGTGCTAGAAGGGGGTGGGGAGGTTGCTGTCTCTTTCTACGCGGTCCCTTCTAACACTGAAGACCTTACCTAGTCGAGTCATGAAACGTCTCCAACTGAGGACCTAACTCCCGGACTGCCGTTTTGAGCAACCGAGGGGCAGTTTTAAGACCTCATTATTTTGTTTTCTGAATTTGTTCACTACTTCCAAGAGACATTGCTCGTGCGGAACCCATTACCTGATGGCGCTTGACAATGTCTTTGAGCTTGTTAGCCACTTTCAGCTCGATGTCCGGAATGAGGTAGATGCTTGGTCTGCTTAGACAGTTATTCTGAAGAAAAGAAAAGAAAAAAGAATAATGGAGGAATTAAAGGATATTTTTGATCCCAGAGAAAAACAAATTAACAGGATTAAAAAAAAAATACTGCATTCAAATAATAACCCATTATTTCTATCATAAAGAATACAGATTCAATAATTCAATAAGACACTCTAGGGAAACTGCATGCCTTTCAGCATGTTTCTAACTGACCAGGATGCTTGCTACTTAATCAAAATGTGTGTGTGTGTGTGTGTGTATTGTATGTATGTATGTATGTATGTATGTATGTATATATGTATATATGTATATATGTGTGTGTATGTGTATATATATATATATATATATATATATATATATA